TTACTTGTGTTAAAAATTATTTATTATTTTATAAAATAAATCTTACAAATTATAATATATTAACTATATTTGATTGTGCATATTTATAAATTTATTTAATCATATTTAAAATTTTAATCACTAAATTTTTATTATTAATCAATAATTAATTTTTAATTAAAACATATTTAATAAATGTATAATTAATATAAAAATTTACTTATTTTAAAATTATTTGTTCGGGTTAATTATCGTTGATATTACTTTTTGAAAATATTCATAAGACACTTCTGTAAATGTAGAAAAGTATATTATGTTAATACATACTGTAATACTAGTTTGTGTATCAATATAACAAATAAAATTACATACATCATATATCTCCTGCTCAGTTTTGTTTTCCAACTTAAAGACACTTCTATAAATGTAGAAAAGTATATTATGTTAATACATACTGTAATACTAGTTTGTGTATCAATATAACAAATAAAATTACATACATCATATATCTCGTGCTCAGTTTTGTTTTCCAACTTATTAATCTGTACTTGGAGGTCTCTAAAAGCTTGGTTATTCTTAAACTCTTGTGCACCACATTCTAAAAACTTTTGATCGCAATATAGTGTCAACACCAGCTTGCGTTCATTATTATCCAGGTCCACTTTGGTGTAGGCGCTCACATCGGCTTTCTTAAAGCAATCCTTCAAATATTCTTTGAACTAAAAATATGAAATTTATTGAAATATTTATTTACTGAAAATGACAGTAAATATGTTAACAAACTTTGTTTTCCAACGCAATCTTTTCGGTTGATTTGGTTTCGTTGTGTTCGCATTCAATCACTTTATCCACAATAGATGTGTCCGTCTTATTGGACACACAGTAGTCATACAAACTTCTCAAACTCCAAGTTATCATCACAAACACAATTGAGCAAGTAACTGCTCACGACAAATACAATGCATACAAATAGTTTGCTCATTTTAAAAATAAATTTCAAATATTCAAATAAAACAAATTTGCAGAATTTATAATTAATCAAGATATATTAATTTGTCTAAATAGTGTGGAATTTAAATTATCAAGTGAATGATACAGGTATTAATATTTATTAGACAATACTGGCGCATAGAAAATGTCACGAATTAATTGGGAAATCAGTTAAATGTATTATTTATACAGTTTAGCAAATAATTACATTAATTGTAAGTAATAAAACAGGATATTTAAATATGTTACTTATTTAAATTGTAATAATTAAAATAATCTATTTTATTTTAATTGTTTTGTTCATATGAGTCCAATATCGTAATTTTGATCTAGATCCGTACTTAAAATTATTCACCAACTAAAAATGCTTTCTTTTATTATTTCAACATTAATTTGTAATAACATATACTATAGTGTGAGTGAAATATTGATTGTATTTCATTGTAAACCAAATCCATAACAAACGG